AAACATTATATCGAGATTTAAAAAATTTTTAAATTTCGACATTTCTCCTTCGACATTTTTATTTTCGACTTATCGTACGGATCCCTTTCAAAACTACCCGGAGGTCAATTAAAAATGAATAACTTTCACTTTTTTGTGCGGATTTTTTTCACTTATGTCTTATATTTTTCGCTAATAAGTTTTAAGAAATTAGTATTAAATAGGAAATTTTTCCATTTTTTGGAAAAAAAATTGTTTTTAAATGTGTGTATATATATCGTAAACATGTAATTTTTATTAGAAATGAATTGTAATTATCATTCATTTGATATGTTATTTGTTTTGATCGGTTAACGAATTCTCCATACATTAGAAATTAGTATGATCGACTTTTTTTCTTTAATCAAAAACCGTTATATAGCGATATTCCAAAAACTACACGTAGGAGATCAATTTATTTTTCTATTTATCTAATTAGTATAAGATCTTAGATTGAAAAGAATTGCAGCTGCTCCGCACCAAAATCAATGTTGACCAGTGTTATTAGTTAAGAAGCATTGAGTTTTAATATATAAAAAAGCAAGTGCCTCAAAGTCTTCGGAAAGTGTCACTCACTGGCAGCTAATTACATTAATTACATATGTAAAAATGTTGCAAAAAAAATTTCCAAAAAAAAAATTAAATTTTTGGTGATGTTTAGCAAACATTTTTCCAAAGAATATTTAAACAAAGTAAGTTTACAAAAAGATTTATAAGAAATTCGAAAATTTTATAAAACATTATTCAAATTTTTTAATTATAACTCCAGTATCATTTCGCTTTCCCTTGACAAAGTTTTGGCCCTAGCTAAATAAATTGTTTATGTACATACATATATAAAACCACACGAATGCACAACACGCATACATATGTACAATTATGTATTTATACAATTTAGTAAAACATACCTCTTTTCGCAACATTTAGTGCTGGCGTTGGCAAGATGTACAATTCATCTAAAAGTAAATCAGAGAAATTAAATTTAGTAAATCTGTTTTCATAATGTTTCATGCATATCTTGGAACGAGTATGTATAAAATGAAATTTCCAAAGTATATACATATGTATATACATTTGTATATATGTTCTAAATATTTTATAGGTTTCCAAGTATGATTAATTTTTCGCAATGTTATTGAGCTTTGTACCACCATTTTTGTTTGTTAGGAGAAATAGAAAAAATAACAAAGTCTGACGAGGAGATGTGGTGATCTCCGAAATAGCAGCTATAACTTCTACCGCTTGGACCTTGTTGCTTTTTCCATTTTTCCTAACAAACAAATTACGCCACAACAACAATAACAAAAGGTAGTATATGATGAGCCTGCCTGAAACTATACGATAAATCTAATCAATGTATAGAATTAACAATAACAACCACCCTGTCTAGTTAAAATGGCGGCGAATCAGGTGCACTTGATATAGCCCGATCACTTTAGACCAAAATCGACGTAAGATTAAAAAAAATTCCGGGAAGAAATTTGTTGACGCAGTTAGGTGTCTCCTGTTTAGGTGAACACAAAATGAAAAATTTTCCCCCAAATGCGATATGGGATGCGTCCGCCATCTTGGATTTTATGTTTTTTACGATTTGCGAGCGAATTTTGCATTTCTCGCGAAAAAAGGTAAACAAATTTGTTGAGAATTCGATTCCCTACAATTTTCATGTGCCTATCAATTTTTTTAAACAATTGCTTATTGCTAATAATATGCAAAAAATGCCCAAAATTAGGCAAGTGGCGCGGTTTTTTTCGAATTTTGAGCAATTTCTATTTGAAGTAAGCGGCACATTTAAATGGCAAAGTTGTAGAGGTTAAAATTTCCAATAAACGCATTATTTATATGTTTACGTACGACGTGTAGATCTCGACCAACAACGCGCTGAATGCAGCGGAAAGGGAGAAGCTACTCAAACCTTTTTTCCACAACACCTCAGAGGTAAAGTTATTGGCGCGTTTTATTTCAGAAATTTTTTTGAAATTCGCTACTTCTGTCTTGAAATTTCCTTATTTTTGTCTACACGCACATACAATTTTCCCTACCTATTTTTTAATTTAAAAACACTACACAAATTAAAAAATATGCGTATTTTTTATTCCACAGAAATAAAGGTAAACATTTTGTTGAATTGCTTTGTACTTATGTACCTACTTACATACAAATGTGTGTATGTACATTAGGGTGCCCATCGAAAATGTTTTTTGGAAATTTCAAGTCCCTACCCCCTCATTTTATTCGCTTTTATGAGAAATATTATAGCCTATTTTTATATATTTTTTAAAGGTCATTTAGAGATCGCGACTTGTCATCTTAGGTCAGAAAGTACGGTTTTGTAGATTTATGCGTTTTTGAATAACTATTTTTGATTCGATTTCAAAGATCAAATATGATCTAAGAAGAGGATATATAGGCCTTTAAAATGGTATATAATAACACAGGTCTGCAAAAAAATGGGTTCGGAATGTTCTATAAAAGTGTAGTGTCATTTCCGAAGTAATTTTTTGCGTAGAATCCGAATCCGGGGTTTAAATTGCTCTATCACGTCAGGACTTTGAGATATCATAACCTAAAAGTGCAAAAAACGCTGTTTTTGCCCATTTTTGAGGTTATGTAGCTACGAAGATTTTGCTCTTCATAAAAAAGTAAACGTGGTATTTTAAAGTATAAGT